TTCTCCTTTGGCAACTGCATGGTGTCTCTTTGACCCTGCCTACTCTCTATATCTCTGTTTGGATTTCCTGCCTGGCTTTACTTTGCTAAGCTATTGGCCGAAACAGCTTTATTCTTCAACCAGTAAAAGCAAAACATATACAGAATGACATCCCACATCAAGGGAGTGACAAAGTAAAACAATGAAAGAGGCAACTTGTTGCTTGAGTTACTCAGGCATATAAGTCATCTCAGTAGCTTAATAACAGAATTATATAGAGGTGTGAACATACAATATGAATATACTGTATTCAGAGGCTTTCATTGATGGGTCATTTAACATCTTCTAAGATTCATTATTTATAAAAGTATGGTATCAACACTAAAATTAGACTGATGAAAATCTAAGGCAGTTATAAAAATACAGTTTCATAAAATACAATTGTATACAGTATTAGAGACCTATACTATTTCTTTTTATGTATTTAATAACCTGTGTAGTGTTCTTGAGAGTATAATATACATATATTAATGAGAAGTGCTGTTTATTCAGGGTATTAAATAGTGCTTAAAACTTGTCGACCAGTACATGGTATACCAGTAGTAGTGTGTAGGAATAGAATAAATTTTGTGTGTTCTGTGCTCAGTATAGCAAAGATATCATTATTTTACAAAAATGATAATTAATTATAATCTATAATACAGCTCATCTCTAAAATGGTATTTCTGTGTATATATGTTTTGAAATACGAAGTGATCAAAATTGGAGGAACAATCGTCACTTAATGAATACATTCTCATTAAGAATTACGTGCATAAAATTCAAATCGCATGATTTAAAGAAGCAATATATGGATAAGGATGAAGAATTGCAAATTTCATTTTGCATATAGAGCAAAAGACAACTTAAGCTATTGAAAAGAATTTGAGGAATGTATACTGTTCTAAAACCAACTTTTAAAAACTAAATTTAATTTAAACATGAAAAACTAGAACATAAGAGTTATATCTTTCCATACCATGGGTATGTTCATAAGAATGTAGATTTTTCTATATACAACACTATTTTCTTTTAAAACCTTGAAATACATTTTTAGGACAATATTTAGCCCCAAGTGTTAATAAAACCTACACTTTGAGAAGCAAGTGTTTTAACATCCTATTTTTAAGGAAGTAAAATAACTTACTAATAAAATTAATCCTCCAAATTACCTGGGGCTGTTTAAATATTTACCATGATAAAAACAAATTACATAAAATTCGTGCTTAAAATATCATATAATTATTTAGCTTTTATTATTTTCTGTGATAACAGGTTATTATGTACTGACTCTGTTTCTTGGTTTTGTTATACAGTATTTAATATACTGTGACCTTGTCCTTGATAAAAGTCTATGGCTTTCATTAAGAATCAAGCCAACATAGGCAAAACAAAGAAGAGATACAAACAAGTATATAAGTGTCTATTCAAAATAGTGAACTATTAAATAAGTTTAGTGGATGAAAAAAATCAAGTGATAAATTGTGTGAATGTATGCACCATGAGATTCTAAGGAATGCAGGACTGTTTAGAGTAAGCCAGTAACAATGTTTTTAAACCAGGTTACTAGTTTGTGAATTCTGTACACTTCATTTTTAATTTGGTTAATTTTTCCTCTTATATAATAATCTTAATCTTGATCTTGATAAATAAACTTTTTCTAAAAATGCCATCTCATCAAAATCCTCTTGACAGTCTCCATTTGTGAGCCTACTGAATCTATATTACTGGACATGAAACCCATGGCTGCATTTTAGCTTGGACTCTTGAGTAATTCTTGCATGGAAAACTAAAATTTGAACTTGATTACATTAAATGTGTTTGACTGCAGATGCCTTGCTCTTGTACAAATGTCTTTATATGTGCTGCCACTTAAAAGCAACCACTACTAATTGTTTTTAGGTAGAATTTGGCTGCTTTCTCCTCTGCTCTTTGAGCCCTATAATTTTGTCAATTAAACTAATCAAAGGAATTCCAAATGTTTTTATTTAATATTTAAGGCTTTATACACAAACACTTAAAAATTTTAAAAATATCAATTGAAAATTCATTTTTAAAAAGAGTTCACTTACAATCATTTAGCTATGTTTATGTGAAATGGTAAGTTTAATTCTAACATTTGTATATGCTTTATTACTCTGGTTGAAAATTTTAACTACCTTGGTCACCTGATATATATTTCTTTAGGCTTTTGCTTAAAAGATTACATCAGAATAATTGGGCATGTACCACAATTTCATTTTTCCAAATACCATTAAATCTACAACTATAAGTGTAATAAGTTGAGGCAATATACCACAGCTGATGAAAAGTTTTGCAGGTTTGAAATTTGACTGATACAAGGAATACTGTAATGTAGTTTTATTGAATTTTATAGTAAGGGTATTAACTTTTAAAAATAAATACTTGCTCTTTCACATAATTTTGTGGCATTTATGCTTTACAAGACATTAAACTTTAAATGTCATGAAAACTGTGGATTCCTGTGTAAGTTTTGGCACATCTGTGCAAATGCTATGTGATTTGCTTTTCTTTCTGTTGCTGTAATAAAATACTTGAACATGAAGTAACTTAGGGGAGAAAAGGGCTATTTCATTAAATAATCCAGCTACAGTCCATCATTGTGAGGAAGTCAAGGCAGGATTTTAATCAGCTGATATTAAATTCACAGTGACGAGCAGAGAAATGAATGTTTCCATTCTTACATCATTCAGGAACCTTGCCAATGAAATGGCATCAAGCAGAGCAAACTAGGTCTTCCTATATTACCTTAAGTCAACCTTCTGGTCTGGGCCTCAGGCCAACCCAAATGTAGACAATCAGTACTTGAGATTCTCTGCCCAGATAATTCTAGGTCATGACAAGTTGACAATTAAACCATCACAGCATATTATACTCATTTTTTAGTGCCTAGCACAATAGAATAGTAGTTACTCATTCAAGAGGAAAAGACATAAATTTTCATGGTCCAATCTGTTATATATATATATATATATATATATATATATATATATATATATATATGTATATATATATATCACTAGACTATTTTACAAAATATATTTTATTACCTCTAGTAATTTTTAAATTTCATATTAAAGCATTAGACATATTAATGTAGTTAATATTCTAAATTATTTAGTATGTTTCCACCCATTGCATTATTATCCTCTTATGTCCTCAGATTATTCTTTTTAGGAAGTAGGAATCTCTTCATGTTAAATCCTAGGTCAATATTAGTCATCTTAGATAGTTTCATTCTATCTTAAATCAAAATATAGTCCATTCTTATATATAGTTCCAATCTTATTTGAAATTAGCCATTTTCCAAGAAGTTCTGGAAAATGGTACAAGACAACAAAACTGAAATTTTCATTATTATTAAGTTGATCTTTGTTTCTATTCCTTCTCAGTGAGCATATATACATACATACATACATATATACAGCATCAAGATCGTATAAGGGTGGTTGTTTTTACTTCCTTAGTAATATGTATGTATCTGCTTTCTCCCTCGCTAAATTAATAATTATTAATGATGCAGGTGAAAAAGACATGACTTTTTTGTTTTGTCTTATAAGTCATACAGAACAGGTTTAGCACATTAATGCTATTTACAATAAGTAGTGTTGCTAAAGATACGTTTAAGATTATTTCAACATTTCTTTGTGTTATATCCATATTAGATATGGCGTGAAATTATTATCTTGTATGAGTATTATGCTGCTAGTAGGGTATATAAATTATTAGGCCACTAGTAGAATATTAACTTAAATGATATTTACTTTCTTAAGGAGATTCCCTTTGAAGTTTGAAAGTAAAAGTAATGGATTTTTATTTTTTATTTTTTTTAACTTTTTTTTTATTGAGAAAAGGAAAAAAAACAAATTTCCTCCTCCTCCCAGCCTCCCATTTCCCTCCCCCTCCTCCCACCCTTCTCCCCCTTCTCCCACCCTTCTCCTCCTCCCCCCACTCCTCTCCCCATCCCTCTCCAGTCCAAAGAGCAGTCAGGGTTCCCTGCCCTGTGGTAAGTCCTAGGTCCTCCCCCCTCCGTCCATTTCTAGGAAGGTGAACATCCAAACTGGCTAGGCTCCCACAAAGCCAGCACATTACGTAGGTTCAAAACCCCGTGCCATTGTCCTTGGGTTCTCATCAGCCCTCATTGTTCGCCATGCTAATTGCCAAACAAGAGTAATATTTTACAATAGCATATTTATTACTCCTTATGTGTCAATCTCTGAGGCAAGCAGTTTATCTCATTTTTCTCACTTAATTCTCAGATCACTCCTATTGGGTCACTACTACTACATATCATGTCTATGGCCAGTTTACAAATTTCTTGAAGAAAATGACAACCATTATGTTTCTAAGCATAAGTCACTTTTACATATTGTGATTTATTGGTGAACAAATAGTTAAGAAAAAATGTAGTTGATTTTTAACTTTTTTTGTACAATTTCAAAGATTCAAATTTATGTAAGAACTATAAACCTGATATTTTAAAATATATAATAGAAAGTAGATTTGATTAGTTTGAGTAGTTAAAAATAGAAAAGTATGAGATTTTGATATCAATGTTGAAATAAATGTTAGTGTATTCTTAATGGTCTAATCATAATAAATCAATGTTTAAAATCTTGGAGATAGTTTGACAGATTTACTTATCATGGGTAAAAATTTCAGATAGAAAAATCTCTAATAATTTTTTAAATGTTTCCAAAAGTAATCTTAACATCTATTGCCCCTTGTTATATGTGCTTAAAGTTAGTCAAATTAGAAAATATACTTAAGGCAAAGTAACTGACCATCTAACCTTACCATTGGTTCTACTTGGGTTAAAAAAAAGTAAAATTTCCAGATTTTACTCATTCTTATTTGAGTTTTTGCATGGAATGTCAAGAATTTTTCTTAGTACAATTTCTAAAAACATACATTAAAATGGATATTAATTTTTTGAACATAATATTTGTTCTTGTTTTCAGGATTGCACTGTATATGAAACTGAGAATAAAATCCTTCATGTGGTAAGTAGATTTGGATGTATTTTTATCTCCATTAGATAATATTTACTTAGCAATTAAAAGAATATGGCTTGAAAAATGTAATCCATAATAAAAAAAAAAGATTAACTAACTTACTTTAGTTAAGTATACATTTTAGGAAACCTCTAAAAGAATCAAAACATGTTAGTTATAGTCAACTTGTTTTAGCTAATAGAAAAAAATGCTCTGATGTAATATTTGAATATTATGAGGCAAGATTTGAGTAAAATAATCTTGCAAACAGAATTGGAAAGTACAATTTTTCTCAGTAATTTATGATTTAAAAAATATACCAGAACAAGGTATTTTCTTCTACAGTAGGAGTAATTTGTCGCTATATTCATTTGGATGAGATATTTCCTAAGAAAATCAAACTCCCTTGCTCTGATCTTGTATTCAAGAACTAATCTATCTAGAAACTTGTCATTATTTGTTAAATCCATTCATTTCTTTGGTTACTTTTTTTACATTTATTCATTTTGTTGATGATGGGGGAGGTATGAATACATGCCACAGTATGCATGTACAGATCAGAGGACAATCTGATTGGAAGTTTGCTATTTTTTTTATGAGAAGTGAGGTGTTGTTAAATTATACTCAGAGAAAAGGTATCTCTTGTTGTTAGTAAACACCTTGATGACTTTTGCCCTTTCTTTAGGGTGATCTCAGGAAAGAAGAACTGATGTACTCTTCTCTATTTTAGCCTAGGAAAAAACAATAACTATCCCTCTTTTTAGGTACTGCTATCCATAGGCTCTGGAGAACAGGAAGGAAATAATAGCATATGTGTTTGTGTGTGTGTGCGTGTGTGTGTATGTTTTCCAATCATTAGTTTAATTTTTTAAGCATATTATAGGTTAAGTAGTAATCCTGAATTTCATTCAAAATATGAAACTGGTGTATGCACATATATACATGTAACACACACACATATGCGGACTTCAGAGGAAACTTGTAGGAGTGGCTTCTCTCCTACAATGTGTGTTCCAGAATTCAAATTTAGGTCATCAGGCTTTCCCCACTGAGCCATCTCACCTACTCAAAAATCTAAACTTTTTGACCACATTTCTGAAGCTGCTGACATTGTAAGTGGAAAATTCCTTATCTGACTTCATATGATGGGGCCCATTCAACATTGAGGCTCACAACACAACTAATCCAACATCACCAAGGAAAAGATGACTCTCTCAGACCTCACCAACAGCTGTGCTATATCTTTTTCATGTAGCTAATGCAAGAATACCTACAAAGAATAATGAAATGGTGTATGTGCGGGCCAGCCGCAGGTTTCACATGAGACCTGTGGACATTACTTACAGTTGTTCATTTCTTGCTTTAATTTTGTTTATTCCTTCTGTAATATAAATATATTGCTAAAAATACCCCCAAAATGTCTGTAGATAATCTGTTTGTGTCAGGGTGAAAAAGGATAAAGATACGTTTATCTATAATACGGAATGTAAACTGTTGACAAAATGGACGGCAGTGTAAAGCACAAAACTTCTCCAGGAGAACGTGGTATTGCAATGACCACTGTGTATGACATAAAGAAACAGAAGGATGAACTGTTGAAGTACTGTGCTAAAATGCTGAACAAAATGTCACATAAATTAAAGACTGGAAATCTCAAGTTATATATTTAAATAGCGGAGCCACTACATTGCTATCAGCACCTTCCAATTACTGTGCTCATCATGATGAAACAAGGGCTGATCTACCTCAATGAACTGAAACTTAAAAGGAACTGTATTTCCTAAGCTAGGTGCAGAAGTTTAAAGCATGACTCAGCATGAAAATTTTCAAGATTTGTTGTGATAAAGCTTCTGCCTATGGGAAAATGAAAATATTCATTGAAGTGGCTATAAAAGATTATATCATCATTGGGACTCTAGTTGTTCATTCGTTGGCTGGTAGTAGAATAGTCAAAATGGTCCTGAATCAAGATGATCATGATAATAGTTACAATCAAGATGACATTTTTAATACAGCAGAGAAAATGCCTATTGTTGACACAGTAAAAAGAGATAGTGGGCTTTTTGGAGGAATAGAGAAATGTTCATTTATAACAGAATAAGAAATCATAGTAGTTCATAAGCTCAAGAAGAGACTTCTAAGACAAAATCTGTTTTTAATGGGTTAAATGACTCTGGAAGAAACAATAAAAAAAACTATCCAGTACTGTGCTGTCTTATCTCTAGGAGACCTACTTCTTGATCCTGTAACTGAAAATTTTTATGATGATTTAAGAAGAAAAAAATCATTGGTCTCTGAATGGCAAATCAGATTTTATAGTATTTTGGATTACATAAAATATTCTGATATGATTGAAACCAAGATTTGCATAAGGAGAGATAGACATTTTGCCTTACACCTTTAATCCCAACACTTGGAAGGCAGAGGTAGGCAGAAGTCTGTAAATTCATGCCTAACCTCATCTGTATAGTAAGTTCCCAAGAATGTCAGAAGTGAGACCCTCTCATTAAAAAAAATGTATAAGTAATAAAAGCAAAGTTCAAATGATACATATAGTATAACATTGTTTGAATATATTTATACTACAGAAAATGTCTTGAAGATGTTTGTAATAGACTAGATCTTCTTTTGTCTGGTAGGAATGGGATGGCAGTTGTCAAAGAGGAAGGAAATGCTCAAGTGTGGAAAGCTATAATACCTTAGGAATTCCCTAAGGAAATATAGGTATCGTTGTGCCCTTTAACACACCTGGGAAAACTAGAGAGCTAAGCAAAGTTATGAAGTGTCTATTCTTAAATTAGGTCAATATGTAAGGATTAGCTTTTAAAAAGAAAGAGAAAGAAAATATGTTCTAATACACTATAATATTAAAATAATCCTACTTCATGAAGTAGACTTATTAAGTTTGTTTAATGTCCACAATAAGAGTCAACAGAACACTGCCTATTTTTTTAAAAGATACCATATTATAAAGAAGGCATGTCCACTGTAAACAGAGACCACCAAGTGAGCTAAGACAAATGATTGTAGTAAAAGTAACCAAACAGAAATAGAAGTAAGACTACACTAAAATCATTAAAATGAAAATCAGATGTTAAAGATAATATGAGAGGGAGACACAAAGTGGACTTCGATAGTACAGTACTAAGATATTTACATATTTGGAAAATGGAAATATGAGAGCAAGCTTTTAGAAGACAGGTTTTAGTTCTCATCACTGTTTCTAAAGGAAGAAAGCAATAATAAAGGCTATAATAGAATAATTTTGGACTAGAAATTTATATATTCACTAAAGTTAGAAAATGTGTTGAAAGGATAATTATTTCAAGATATATTCATAGTAACAGTTCATAATTATAATGGCAAGAAGTAACTTTGCATCCATTCAACAGAGGGACTAGAGGAAAAGAAGCTCATTTTTGTGGTAAATGTCTGTAATCCCAGCAGCTGAGAAATTGAGGGAGGAGGATTATGAGCTCCAAGGTACCTGGGCTATATATTGAGACTGTCCCAGATAAGAGAGAGAGAATATGAGTATGAGTATATTTCCATAAGACAGTGGATGAAAAATTATAATTATTTTAAAGAAAAGCAATGGCCAAAGCTAATTTGCAGAAACAAAATTTAAAAGCATGTTTTTAGATTAACAAGGTTGCTAAAGTAATTTCTTGATAAATACGTTAAAATAAAATTATTAAATAAGTGAACAAAGTAAGCCAAATTCCAGAATAGGAAAGTATAAGATGACGAAGAATACATGATAAAAAAAACACAGATGAGATGACTAAGAGCAAAAAAAAAAGGATATAAAAGTGCTAATTATTTTTAAATTACAGTTTTAACTATTAAAAGATAATGTGCATATTCTGAGTTTTGTATATTTTTAAAGTGACAATCTCCTAATTGCATATTAAATTATAACATCTAATCAGAGGCAGTTACCCTCAGATACCAAGTAATTTTAATAAAGCAGTAAAAAAGTGTTTTCTATCTATTCCTAAACATACTTTTAAACATACTCATGTACTGACAGAAATCTTCATGAAAATAGAATGGGCTTAATTTTTGCTATCCATGTATACTACCAATGCCTTTTAGGAAAGCAAGTTTGACATATATTAATTCTAATATTTGCATGGTATTTTACAATTGCTTCTGCCGTTACTTTGAGTGCTATATACAAACTAAACTCATTTTGGTTCTCAGGAAAAATTACTATCATCTCTCTTTTATAGATGAATAAATTTAAGCATATAATAGTTAAATTTCTTGAAATGACAGAAATGATTTATAATCAGTTTCTCTACTCCTAAGGTTCAGGGAAAAATCATTGAAGAGATGGTGGAAATATTGTAAGAACCAGTGGATTGGGATGCCTGCCACTAGATACTGTCTTATAGACATGATAGGGAAGCTGCACCTAGGAAATCTCAAAGTATGGTGCCTTATCAAACCTGAATAATAGTAGCATCAGTTGACATGCCAGTGTGGATGGAGGAAATTTCACTAGGTCCCACCCCTAGATGATGAGCCACAGATAGTCAGTGGCTGCTAAGAGAATAATCAGTTTTCTCCAGGGTCAAGTTGCCTGAAAGGTGCTCCAATCTCAAGTGGTCATTCCTAAACATAAATGCAATTCAAAATATACCTAGTAGCTTAGGCGAAGGCGCTCAAAGAATTGGATAGGTGAGAGGGGGAGGTGAAATTTTATATATATATGTATATATATATATGTATATATATATATATATATTTATGTATGAAATTCTCAAAAATCCATATTCCTATACATTCCTAGGAATAAAATCTAGAATAAATTGTGGAATACAATAATATTTTCTATAGGAAATGTTCAAATAATCATAATACATAATAATGAAAAATAAGAAATGGAGTAATACTACAGTCAACTATGGTACATTAATAGTACATAATATTTACTACTCATGATTATTACCTGAAAATTTTCAGGAATATATAATTTATGTTATAATTTATGAATAAATTAT